CGATTCGACTTCCCATGGCATGATTTTGAATAAACCTTTAAAATAATTAAGGCCACTTTTCTGCTAAAAAATCTCAATAGAACTTTTTTTTAAACTTTAAATATAATTATTTATATTTTATTTAAGTTTTTACATTAAAAACTTTAATTTTTTAAGTCAAGATAAGATAACTTTTAATCAACTTCCTAAAATTCTCTTTCTCAAGAGAAATCTCAACAAATCATCTTCTTTGTCCATACTTGGTTTAAGTATCTGTACACCAAACAGTTGACGGTACCAAAGCGCAAAGTTAAAAGCTGAGCTGCTCCCTCTGCCCGTGTCGGAGGTCCCACCCTTTCCAGATGGCGTACCAATTTGTCTCTGTCAAAGTATTGCGTTCAGAATTGAATTTCCATTCTGATGCAATTCATTTCTTTTCACCGTGGCCTACTCAGAATTTGTCGTTGTTAGTTGATTGACCGTCACATGCTATAATAGAGGGTAATCAATTCATGATCACAATTACATTGAAGAAAACTTTTTCTGAGGTGACCCCACAACGTTGTCGGTAGGGGTTTTTCTTCTTCTTTTTCTTTTTATGAGTTGTTGGTATGTGTGAATGGTTCTAGTGGGAACGGTAGAATTGACAGATAAATGCGGGGTTCCATAAAAACTGAGGGTAAACAAAGGAAGAGAAGGATTAAGTAAAAACTAAGCTGGAATTATACGTGTAGATTTGGCTCATAATATCTGTAGGGCATTTCAAGTTTCAACAAATAGTTGATGGGCACCAAAAATAAAGAGGATATGCACAAGCTGCTGACCTATTCGAATTTAAAGGCCCATTTGGTTGGGATTCCCCAGATTCTTTTTCTAAGAAGTGGTTAACCAAATAAGCCCATAAGAGAGGGATGCAAAAGGATCCACCCCAAGGTCCCGTCACTTGCAGGTGCAACTGTGCATTGTCTGATCAATGCTCATGAAGTGCTGATTTGAAGTTGTTTTTTGATGCATCCTTTCACACGTTTTGAGTATTGTCCGAAAATAGAGTTGTTGGTTGATACACTAGAAATATGCATAAGAATGAGCGACTAATGGCGCACTAAATAACGAACACCATACACTCCATTTGATTTGTTGTTGTTGTTTTTTTCATTTTTGTTTATTTTTTATTTTTATTTTTAAATTTTTGAGGGTTTAAAAGAATTTATCAAAAAAATCTCCCGTTTCGACAAATAAAAAAAGAAATGTTTATGAGTTTGACCTAATTTTATAAATTAAAAAAGAGGAATGGGCATGAACCATATATGGTTACTAGTTTGTTTAAATCAATCGATAACTAAGTAACATGTTTTGATTGTTAAACAAATATACATATAGCAGTAACAATTAAAACATATTAGCTAGTTGTTTGCCAAAATAGATGAATGATATATAAAAAATACACTAATGTAACAAATTACACAGCCAATGCATAAACAGAAATGCATATACCATGACTATCGTTTGCATTGAAGGAAATATGATGATAGAAATAGCTAGCCAAGGCGGTGTGTGCAAATCAAATCTCTCTAGGAAAATGATATGATTCCTATCTCCCTACTCTTCCTCTCTAAAATTTTTGCCCTCTGGTGTGCATCCAATTCCCTCCACACCAAAAACAAATAACTGGACAACTCCCTTTACAAGCCCTCTCCTTGTTTGCATATACCAAATCCCCAAATTTCTGCTTATTGATGAGAAGGTTTTCTTTTGAAGTCTGCTTGAATGGAATTGAAGAAAACTAATTCTCAGGGAGCTCAGGGAACCATAGAGAGATCCTTCCCAGCTCATGAGCTAAACATATTAGGCAGTGGTAACAGCAAGGAAGTAACTAACAAAGTTATTCAATCTTGTAGCTAGTGTTGTGAAGAGGAAGTGGAGACCATGATAGAAGAATAAGCATAAAGAACCATGATTGTCAAGCTTATTTCAGTAGTTATATAATAAAAGGTTTGAGTGTAGCAATTCTGTGCAAGAATAAGATTGTATAGTTGGTATACGAATTCAACGTTTCTTTTCCAAATAATCAAATTCCTTAAAGTTTAATGCATATACATAGTACATAATACCTAGTTTAGGTCAATAAACAGCTGTCAACCTAGGAACATTAAACTTTGAAACTTAATCTTCAAACGCAATAAATAACAGCAATGAGGATTAAATATGATATGGGAAATAACAGGGTTCAATCTTCAACCTTCTTTATTGCTCCATTGTTTTGCAGCATAGCTGTTGAGGATACTATTGGGATTAGCTTTGCATGCAACAATAGTTCTTGGTTAATTTAGAGAGATATTTTACCAGTGTCTTGACTTAAATATTAAAGGAAGAGAAACCAGAACTCCTCATTAGATTTTGAAAGGACAATAGAATGGTTTGGCAACCATAAGCAGAAGACCATTTGTCCTGCTACAACATTAAGATGAGTTTTTCAGTACAGAAGATATCAAAAGGATTCTAATTAATAAACATTTATATAAAAAATTTCCACTACCAATGATCCCTTGGTTCAGTAGTAAAGCCACGCTATGAAAAATAAAAATATGTTACAATTCTAATATCCGCCAAGGCAATAGGTTCAAACACTTTAATATAACAGAAGCAAGTAGAGGTTTCTTTTCCCAATCTTATTCTCATGTTGTTAAGAGCAAATGGTTTAACTGAAAACCAATATACTTGCTTAATTTGATACCTGAAGAATATCAAGGCAAATGTTCCCAAACTGATCAACATTTGGATGGAAGCTCATGGCTTCAAACCTCACTTGAGGTGGCTTGAAAGGGAAGTCCAATGGGAATCACAGGGAAAGTTTGTATGAAAAACCCTCATACATAGTTCCCTTTCCACCTTTAGTTGTGCCAATCCAGGTCAAAATGCTCTGTCCTTCAGAAAATGCTAATACTCCAGATCTTCGCCACTCATCTACATAAGAAGACAATCAAGTATTAAGTGAAACTATGGTTCTAATGGAACTAATAACAAAGGCTTTTCCTACAAGGGAGTTAATGTACTGTGTACAGTTGCTAAGTCATATTAAGCACCTAAATGCTTTAACAAACATGGTCCCAACTCCTAATAATTAATTTCAATAATTTTTTGAAGGATGGCATAAACATATTTGGAACTAGGAAGCACTCCTCTTACATTATGAGTTATAACCATGAGCCGCCCCTTGACTTGAACTCAAGTAAGTCATATTCCATCAACAAGTAAATACTCACTCTTGACTACCAATCACACTACTTAGAAATGAGAGAATGAATTCTAGTCAATAACACAGAAACTTCCCCATCTTAAATAAAAAATCCACATGCCTGCTGCTGAATGTGCATTAGGGTTCAAATGCACCACCATTTAGTGACATGCAGCTCAATAAAATTTACGTAAGTAAAGAAATATGTTCAGCTGATTGCATGAATGGTTGATATGCAAAACTCAGTAAAAGAAAAAGAAACATTTTTTAATAGGAGAAATTTAACATGCAGATGCACATTAACACATTCTGAGCAAGTTTGATAATCAGTTGAGTTGATTTGAAGACATAATTAAGCACCATTAAAAAAATCATTTCTCAAGAAATTGCAGATGTAGTAAAAAAACGAAAATTTCACCTCTTTTCCATTTATCATATCATAATCCTGGCATAGCATCTCCCTCCAAGCTTTCCCTCCTCCCCCACTCCCTTGTTGCTGTGTGGAATTTGCCCTAATCCAAGAATTAAAAACAGTTCTAGAAGTCCATGATCCATGACAATTATAGGACTGCAGGCAAGAAGGGATTTAAATATTCATACAACCAATTAATTGATTAGCAAATACCACTGGATATGTGTTTCTAACTATGAGAAGATTTGTCATGATTCCTGATAGGGGGTATTGTTTCAGTGTCATGAAATTTAGTTACAGGGATTTGTTATTTCCTAAGAACTCACACATATTGCTCAATTGTTTGATGGAAGAAGATACACACACAATTCATGGAAAGAAAAATAATATAAAGTAACCACCTGAGAAAATATATATAAAAATTATAATAACCAAAACAACCAAAGTTTTTTGGAAAATAAAAAGGAATAAATGTCCCTTTAGTCAGAAGTTAAAAGTAATGAAGATCCACAAACAAAGAGCTCAAACCAAAAATATGCATCACCGCAAGCAATCATCATAATTACTATATCTATGTAGTGCAAATATTTCTACCTTAATTGGAAAAACAAACGCAAGAAATAAATAAATAAAAAGAATCTAGGAAATTTTCTAAATTATCATGGTTCGTGACAATGGAGCTCATTTAGCTCTAGATGCATACATGAACTGCAGATCCAATTTAATTAAAAAATAGGCCTCAGATATATCAGAATCGATTAGTTGATATACTATTATAGTTACATAGGCTTATTTAGTTGAAGCTCACACTCTTTGCTTGATAAGACCATGAACCCACTTCTAAACTCTTGTTACTTCAGTAGCCTTAGTCTAACACCTTAATTTCTTTTTCTAGTTCTTCTACCTTAAAAGCAACAGATACAACCAAAGCAACAAGATGAGAGAAGAAAAATGTAGAGCAATCCAAAGTAAGATTCCAAATAATTGACAAGAGGCATATCATTCAAAATACCTTCTAAACTCATCATTTTCCTCCTCTCCAGCACCATGGATCATTATCAAACATCAAAGAATTCCTTTTAAAAAGCAAAAAAATTTAGCTGGTAACAACCACTTTGACCAAAAAGTCCACTTGACATAGATCAGTGAGCAAAAGCAAAATGAAGGCAAGCTGATAAGTTCTCATAACTCTGCATTCTACATCTATATGAATGATCAATTTAGACTTGCAAATTTATAAATGTATATCAAATTGAATTGTCAATTTATCATATAATTTGTATGAAAACACCAACGAAAAGCTAATGAAAAAATGAAAAAAATCAAAATACCACAACATCAATGCCAGATATTTCACCCCAAACTCAATGGAATCATCAATCTCAAGAAGTTAATGGAAGGCCAAAAACAAAAAAAGAAAAAAAAAAGAACTTTAACATTACAAAAGCTACTAAAACATTGTCACTCCTTGGCACCAATTCTAAATAGATCAAAAAAGAAATCAATTGGATTAAGAAAAATGAAGAAACCCTAAAAAGAAGAATGCAAAACTCACATGTGAGAGTTGACTGAAGTTCTAGCAAGTTTAGTTGCCAGATTTCCTCTCTCTATTGTCTTCTCCTTTCTGCCTTCTTGTTGATTATGAACACTAGCTAACCCAATTGATTCCCTTGCTCACTCATCCTGTTTCCCCTGCTGTCCATTTTGAAAGCCATAAGCCACCAGATGGATTCTAGTGGCAAAATGAAGCCATGCCAAGGATGATTATTCAATGACTGATTAAGAAATATGCAGTACAGTAATAAGAGAAAGAGGTATAGGTGTGACATTCTGGTAGTTACAAAGGAGAATGCATTTAACCATATCCTCAAACAAAGTTGGGGATCTGAACACTTTCCCACTGAACCTCCTCAAGCATTCTACTTCTTCTACTTTAATTGCTTCAACAATCTTTTGAAACTCATTCACCTTCTTCTCCTCACTGTCTGACAAACACAGCATCCTTTTCACTTAACCCTGTTAGAAGATAATCCTACTTAAATCAATGCAATCAAACTAATGCAAAGAGGATGGAGCAGAAAAGACTCCTTCATGACTTGGATGGAGGGTTCAATCATTAAGGAATTGGTAATAGTGATACCACCTCTCCGCAACGAACCTCAAAACATGAAGACTACTTGTACAATTCCAAATGAACCTCACCTTGTGGATTGGAAGAAGGGTTCAATAATTAAGAAATCCACACCCTTAGCTTCTACTTTAGTTCTGCATCATGTTTTTCTTCCAATTTCAACAACCTCAAAACTTGAAGACTGCTGGTGCAATTCCAACTGAAGCTCACAAAGTGCCTTAGCAACACTCAAAGTGGACCCTCCCATTTCCCCTGTTTCTAAGAGGATTATTCAGTTGCAAACTAAAATGAAGAATCCATAATTGCATACAAACTACTTTAGAAGTAAGAACACAGTTCAAAAAAAGGTCATGACGGAGAAAGTAAAGAAAGTTGAACAAAGGCAGTCAGGAAATCGGTACAACACCTGTGTAGAGAAACCTCAAACCTGACAATTTCAGCAGAGTTAGTCTCATGATCTCTGTGAAACATGATTCTGAAGCTCAAGTGATTGTTGATAAAGCACTTTTCCTCCTTGCTCTGTAAACACAAATAAATGGTTAAGAAGACAACAGCATTAAACTTCTATATGGACACAGATCTTTAAAAAGCATTATTTTAAGAAATAATAATAATAAAAAGGGAACCCAAAGAACTGATTGTACTAAATATGAAAATGAATGGACATTGTCTTTCAATTGCTTTTATCAGGCATGACTTAAAATTTCTACATTTTTACAGCCTGTACTTTGTTAGAATAGTTATACAGAATTATTCCTTCCAAACTTTGACTTTTTTCTTCTTTTGCTATCACTAAACAATAGATATTGTCATTAAGCAAGACAACAAATTCTAGAACAGAAAAAGAAAATAAAAAAAGGAGTATGTTTATGAGTCCTCTGCATAGACCCTACCATTATACTGCCTTTGCCATAATGCATTGCATTAATAATTAATATGGAAAAAGAAAGAGTTGATAGGATACAACAGGCAAAAAAAAAAAAAAAAAAAA